TGGTAATCTTTCATCGATTGAATGTAGACAGGAGTTTTTTTTTGCATGCTTTTCTTTGATTTCGTCTAGATTATTTCCAATTAGAAATTCGTATCGAGCGAAATGTTTGTGAAACAAATCCAATTGTTGAATGTCATTTGTCAGAAAAGGATGATGCATTCCTGAGATGAAATACTTTTTATGTTGTTCATTCGTATGAATACTAAATTCATCATGTTCTTCTATTGTATCGTTGTATCGCGAATGTAATTTTGCTATTGTTGCCGTTGTTATTCCAAATACACCGAGATAACCTAGTCGGCGATACATATTACGCCGATGGTGCTTGTGAGAAATTCGGAATGAATGTTTTATCTTTGGTGTTTCATCTTCGGTTACTGATAAGTATAAAAGCGAAAACGTGCTTTTATCTTCAATTGAAAAAAACAAATAGATGGTATCTTTTTCTTTTATTACTCAAGGTTATTTAAAAAAAGAACGAAAGAAAAACTTATAAATCAATCGAACCATATCCAATCAGCACTATTCACACGTTTATGCACAAGTCTTCTCCATTGGCTTCCACTTTCTATTAATTTGTTTATATCGTCACCCTGGCACATTTTTAAAAATGACAACTTCGTAAAACTATTAATTATATACTGCAACTTTGCCACTGACATTGTTAGATCTATTTCTAGCGCTTCTAGTTTTGAAAACTTCGCGCATGACTCAAGAGCTCCTTCATTAGATCCAGAACACCATTTTAATTTGAATGACTTGATTTTTTCCAGATAAGCCATCCGGTCAGTACTTAGCTGCTTTTTACTAAATCCATATGATATGCCTAAAACTTCATGAAAGTTCTGTTCACACATTCGGATTGATAGTTGAGTCGGATGATATTTTAATATATCAAAGAATAAATCCGGATTGATGTAATCAAGAAATATCAAATGTTCGACAGTTGAAATATTTATCAGTCTACGCAATTGTTCATAAGTCATGTTACGATCTGTTTGGTATATAGATAACGATCGAACACGATCGAAGTGTAAATTGGACGGAAGATGATTTGTGTTAATCGAGTCTAAATGTAGAACCGGAACGCTAATTGCTGACGATGAACTTGTGGATGTTCGTTCATAGGGTACAAGATAGTTTAATTCTGGTTTGATGCATGGTAGGGTGTAAAGAAATACTCGATGGCCTGCTAAGTAATCGCAGTTGACAAACCATTTTTTGTCTCGTAACCAAAAGTCAGTTTTGTATGACTCTATGATGTTATTGTGAGGTTTGGAAACGATTCTGTCGTTAATATAGAAAAAGAATCGAAAACGTTTTATATGAGGAACACAATTTTCAATCAGGTATCTCCAGTGATTACCGTCGATGTGTGATCCTTTAAATAGTTCACCTTCTAGTTCTAAATGATTCAATTGAGGTAAATATAAGCACTGTTTGAATAGTTGGTGAATATTCATCGACTCGGGAATGTCATGGAGCTTGAGAGTGATTAATGTTTCGATTGTTAATCTACAAACTTTACCAAAATCACAAGTAAACTTATGTATACTAAGTGACTTCATATTTGTTGTGTACAGTTGCAACCAAGTTAAATCATCAAAACTCATTCCATAAAATTCATAAAATTCAATAGTTGATTTTTCATTCGACAACGTCATATATTTTCTACTGAAAAAATCCAAGCCAACATTCCATGATAAAAACATCAGTGTCTTGATTTTAAACAGTAGAATGAAACGAAGCAGATTTAGACGTGAATCGGACATACTGTAGGAAGAATCATATTTTCGATAGAGGATTAATGATAAATGTTTTAGGCGCTGAAAATTGGACAATTTGAAAACAAACGATTCCAGTTGGTCAACATCAGTACCTGTCAATGAGAGTAATTCAAGAGTTGAATAATATAAATTGAGTGGATATAAGGTCAAATATTGGTTCGTGTCAATGATGAGGTCTTCCCTAGAAGCCAATCTTAAAGATTTGACTTGTTGAATATATTTTGGTAATTGTTGAATTACTTCAAAGTGCCATATTCGTCTTAGAACTGATAAATCCAGGTAATATTGCTGGTATGTTTGTAGTAACGATTGAAAATATGAATTAAGTTGTCGAAATGCATTGATGATTTCATGAAAATATAGATGATCGAAAACGACAAAGATTATTTCAGTTGGCAGATCTTCTATTCGTGAATTCAAAGTACGTCGAAGTGACATCGCATGTAATAAGCAGCAATAGTATGTGGAAAATGCCGTTTGTTTTCGGTTTATATAAGTTTGGCATGAGTCAATGTATGAAATTTGGCTTAACTGTTAAAAGACAAGGCTTATCTATTTCCAACTAAAAGCAGAAAGAAAAAAAACTGATAAGAGTAAATTTATTTTTTAAAAGAAAAGAAAATATATTCAAATATACACTTAAGATTTCTTTGGTCGTTTAGTCATCTTTCGTTAATATCTGTGCGCTGTTAGATGAGGACGTGGGTGATGTTAAAAAGTTATGATTGGAATGGATGAAGTGTATTAAGTTTTATTTGGAGCCAGTGTGATTAGTGTTGGAGTGCATATCTGAGCCAATAAATCCCATCTCACGTGTATTATCGTTATTCGCGTTTTTTTCATAAGAAAATAGACAAATGTTAAATATTTCGACAGCGGAATGTTCAGCTTAAAAATTCTACGGGATTTTTTCGAATTCATAGATTAAATTGGAGAAAAATTTCAAGAAAACGTGTGAAAAATCACGTTGAAGGCGACTATAGCAGATTTCTAGTGTATCTGGTAGCCTAAAACCAATGTGGCGCGCAGGAAAAATTGCACATCTTGTAGAGCATGTTTTTCTTTATCGAACTGCCTGTATGACGAAAAAGACTATTGATTTTAGTTTTTGGAAGTGATGGGTCCTCATGCAGTTTGCCATGAGGATTCCAACTATGCCCTGGTGAAATATCGATGGTTTTTCGATAGACAGTCGACTTTTCGTTTTCAGCAAAATGCTCAGCGTAAAAAGCTCTACACACCCTGCAAGTCTCATCAAAGTCGGAGAGGGTCGTCGAATCCGCTCGTGGTTTCTCATGGACATGCCCTGAAGTTAGATGACGAAAAGGAGATTTGTTAAAGACGATTTTCTTTAAAAGAATCGATTAAAATCAGATTTATCTTTTCTTTACATGGGTGGAACTGTAATAAGAATTGGGTGTTCGATGCTTCATCATTTGATCGCATTTATTAACTTTGAATGCAAATCCATTGATGAATATGATTTGATTTGGTTCCAGGAACATAGAAATTATACAAGATATCCATGAAACTTTTTCCACTAGAACAAGTATTCGCAAGCATTTATACTTGTGTACAAATAGAAACAGACGAGAGAATTCATTTTTAACCCACCAGAATAATGCATGTATCCATTTAAATATAAAGTGAGCTTAAAATGCGGGTAAAATCGGATATTTCAGGCTCGTCACATAAGAATAAATGAAGAATAGCATCCATCATTGTTCTGATGAAGGTTTGTTATGATAAACGTGAAAAGCATTGAAATCATTTCGCAGAAATTTTTATCTACTTTTCTGACAATGCAAGAGTAGCTACTTCCTTCGTTGTTATGACAACTACTATTAACACTTGTAAATGTTCTCATTCTGTGAAATGTTTCCAGTCAGTAAAATTAGTCATATACGTCATGTTGGTTTTTTCTCGCCCACAGAAACTCTCTATAAAATGTGGCACCCTCTCTACTTCACACCATTCGATACCAATGGAAAACGATTTGTGTTACATCATCGACTGTTCCAATGAGAACATCTCACTTTTTGCTGAACTACGAGATGAATTAATCAAGAATGGGTATGTGAAAGTGAAATGTGAAAATCTGCCGGATGGTGACTGCGACAAGGCTTGTCTGAATACAATTGCCGCTGTGGGTGGTGTATGTTGTCCATATGACGATGATTCAGAGTCATTCATCTGGCCCGTGAAAGTACTTGAACTTGATTCGCCTGAATCGCATTTGCAAGCTTCGCAACTTGACCGAGAACTAGTCCTCCACACGGACTGTTCTTATGAGCACGATGCACCCCATTTCGTTGCTCTCTATGTCGTTCAATGTGATCGCAGCGAACGTGGCGGCAAATTTCAGATGGTACGCACACAAGAAATTATCGATAAATTATCGCCGGAAACTAAACGTCTGTTACGTGATGAAACATACAAGATTAATGTTCCACCAGATTTTCGTAAAGGCAACATTGAATATATATGTGGTTCGATTTTATTGAACGGCGAGAAGCACATTCGATATCGCCGTGACATTATTGATAAAAGTCGTTTGAAAGAAGAATCAGCAGAGAAACAAGCAGCAATAGCCGAACTCAACTCAATTATACTCTCTGAAAATCAATTGCACGTGTTTCAGCCGAAGTTAGAAAATAATATGATGGTTCTATTCGACAATCGTCGTTTTCTACATGGCCGAACGAAAATTCAAGACCTTGAACGATATCTGCTGCGTGTTCGTTTTAATTTAAGTTAAATTTTTTGCACGTACAAACTGTGACTACTGAAAATCAATAAACATTTCTTTTTTGTTCGTTCTGGTAATAAACAATAACGTGAATGCAAAGAATGAAAAACATCCTTCGACGCGTCGTAGGTTGAGAAAGAAGTTTGTTCTATCAAAACTAAATGATTGGATTGAAAACTCGGTAGGTTGAATTGTGAATTGCTCACGTGTCTCACTGTAATCAACTCTGCTTACATTTAGTAAAATCAGACTCTTCATCTTTTTCGCTGTATGTATCGGCATTTTCCTAGTTATATTTGCCATCACAAACAATTCTAAAAGATTGCTTTGTAACATCGTAGAAAATTCAATTTCAAATGCAAGTCAAACTAAATGGAAGAAGAATAGACTCGTTATCGTTCCAGCAATATTCTTAGAAATCGATTGGGGAAGGCCACTGACTTGGCCTCCTTGGTTAATCGATGGTCTTGATTTATTTAAGAAGAATCATTCACGGCCGTATGACATTTATTTATATCAACGCATCGATTCAAGTTCCAGAGCACCGTTCAATTGGCCATATTGTCAAAATGTTCATGAAGAAACAGGTGTTTATTTAAAGTTTATATACGACTTTTATCATGATTTACCTGATAAGATGTTATTTGTACACGGCGAACCGGAGCGGCATTCTGTTTCTCCCATTCAAGCAGCGCAATGTATTCGTGACGATGTTTTTTATACAAGCGTGAATACAGTTTGGTGGGGGAAACGACCTTGGACGGCGCCAAATCCTGATCCAATTGATAATATAACGCTACTATATAAGTGTGCAAAGCGCCTCTTGAGTTTGTTTGGCTTTGACAGTGAAGCTCAATTAAATCCGGCAAATAAGAAGCCAGAGGATTCGAGTATTTATTCAACCATGTGTTGTGCACAATTTTACGTCAGAAAAGAACGTATTCACCATTATACATACGAACAATGGTCCGCAGCTTACAATGCCAGTCTGGAACCATACTGTACGTCGCCACTCGATCGTCAAATTCCAAGAAAACCCGGAGTGAAATCGTTTGGAAGTAGTTTTGAATTTCTTTGGCACATCATTCTTGGACTTGAATCATCTGATATGCCTGAACCGAAAGCAAAGACAACTTCCGATCTGTGCCATCTATTTCGTTCATCATGTGCTGGAACCCTATGCAATACCGCATTCACTAGAAATATATTCTAGTATTTATGTATTGTATGACTAAGAGTGTTTTTTTTTAATCTTTTTTTGTTAATCATTTTTTGACAAAAGAGATCGGCACTGCTTACCATTGTTGCTTTCTCTTTGTTGTCGACAAAATCCTCATATCAGTGAGTGTTGTTGTATCTCGATTAAAAAAAAAGAACATTTGCTGATATAGGAAAAAGGTAACGAATTTAACTAATAAGACCAAATGCTTATGCCATATGTTCAATCAGCACGGAAATGCTGATATGAATTTTATATTGATTACATGAAAGTCAGTCGGTTTCAGTGCAATTTGAAAAAAAATCTATTCACACACATATAGAAAAGTATGGATATTCTGCATCTTTTGATTTATTTTACATTACTCAATAGATTCTTTGCGCAACAGTCGGTGTTTCATTCTCATCAGCCCGCATTATTCACTTTCGGATTCGATTGCCTTTATGCTTACTTGATTGATGATGAACAGTATCGTGGCACCACTAGCGACGTAACTTATCATCTCATTCCGTACTGTCGACGACCAGCTCACGACGAAGAATTGAAATTCGAGTCCTCCTCTATTTCATCCAGCAATGTGTATAACAGCGTAACGTTTCATGATTTATACAAAAGTAATGTCACTTCGGAACAATTACTTGATTGGAAGGCACCGATCGATCTAATTGAACATTATCTAGCGAAAAGTACAGACTCGATGACCGTGTTTTACAATTGTTCGTTGCCATGGTTTGGGTCTAGATGTCAATACAGGTTTGCAAACGAATCAGCATCATCATTTAGTGACATTGTTCGACTAAATTTCTTGACGCGATTATCCATTTCGAACGGAGCTCCAACTGGTCTCGACGTTAACACATGTTATCCGTTTTTACCAAAATGTTTTCCTAATCCTACACCAATCTGTCTCGATTGGCGTCAGATTTGTGATGGAAACGTTGATTGTGTTAGCGGTGACGATGAACAATATTGTCAAGTGCTGGAAACGAATGAATGTCCCAGCGACAGTTATCGATGTCACTATAGTGGTGAATGTGTGCCCTTAACATTTGTACAAGATGAACGCAATAATGCTGAGTGTCTTGATGGAACTGATGAAACAGAAATCTATACAGAAGCTAGTGGTAGTCTTGGAATTTTATGCTATACGGTTCCAACGTTTCGATGTGAGGAACACACTAGTCGATTTCAATATTCTTTTCAATGTGGCGACGGCCAATACATTCCTTTTCATCGGATTGATTCATTACCAACTACCAAGTGTCATAATGGTCGACATATACGATTCGCGCTACACAGCGACGATGTATCTTTCAGTATTCTGAATGAAGTTCTGAATCAGTTTTACAACTCTACATTGAGTTCAACGATGCTCATTCTCAATCAAACGCTGATAGATCCCCACGCAAGATATTCGATCGTTCCGTGTCCATCTCCTGGTAGCAAATGTTTATCAGAATGGTTTTTCAA